GATTGTAGAGGTTGCCGGTGCAAGATGAGATGAAGAGGATGCTTCTGCTTCTGAAATCTTGTCCCTCAATGATTTGTTCGCCTCGGATAGCTCAATTGATTTCTCCCTTTCCTCGGCGTACTCATTGTGGGTTTCGGCATACCATTCATACATCTCATCTCGGCTCTCTGTCATTTCATTGTACCCGTCCTTGTAGTGCTTCGCCTCCTCTTTTGCGTTCCGAATCTCATCTTCCTCGGACGCGTGGGTTGGTAACCCGCGGTCTCTGGAACTAGGACGCTTGCTGTACCGAGAGACTATGGGTGCCATTCGTGCTTCTGCTTTTAATTTCGCATTTTCCATAATGACATTCTTCTCCTTCTGGCTTTCCAATAGTGCATTCTCCAGTTCTCTGATCTTCTGTTGAATTTCAGCACCATCATCGCCGAACATAGGAGCTCTCATCATATTCTCTCTTTTCAGCTGTGCGTTGGCTTCGGATAGAGCGAGGTTGGCGTCTTTCAACTGTTGTCGTTCACGGATGGAACCTTCTAGGACTTCGTTATTGAATATTTCTCCTTTTGCGATAACCTCCTTTGCGACGTTTGCTTCGTATTCATGGTGGCTCGCCTTCATTTCTGCCATTTCTTTAGCAGAGACTTCAGTCTGGCATACAAATATCTCCATCCTCATGCCCACTTCCATCTCTTCTATCTCCGCTCTCGCGTTGAGTTCAGCTCCACGTGCCATAGCTAGTTGACCTCGTAGATGATCAATAACCATAGCTTCCTGATTGCTCTGATCTTGAGATGAGTGAACACTGTGTTGAAGACGTCTTTCCCTGACCTCACTGTTCCATTGTTCTTCTCTCTGGTGTTGGATCACCTCGTGCATGTTGACATTCTCATCCTGTAGCGCAATCATTCTAGCTTGTATCTGGTCAGCTATTCCGACGAAGGCTGTGTTCTCATCCTGAATGGCTTTTGATCTTCTATTGATCGCCAATGAAGATTCATTCTGTTCTTGGATGTGTCCAATTGCTGCTTGAAGCTCTTGGGACATTCTGTCCTTCGTTGCTTTCACAGATTCAAGCTCTGAATGTTCTTGATGAGTTTCTTGTGCAAGCTCTTGATATCTCATGTAGATATGTTCAGCTGTCGATTCCGCCAAGCGTAGCTTGTGTTCGAGCTCTTCAATTCTTATTGTCGCTCCTTCATCTTCCTGTGTCATCTCTTGTAGATGTTCCTGCATCTTCCTGTTGTAGTCAGACATTTGCCTGAACTCCACTTCAGCCTCGTGGTGTAGTCGTGAGTATCCGGCTTGGATGCATTCATATTCTTCATGAAGAAAATTGTATGCGTTTCTCGCCGATCTCAATTCTTCACCCAGCTGAATCTCTCTTCTTTGCTCTTTTGTTCCTCTATCATCGTCACGTCTCTTCTCTATACTCCTTCTTGGGGATCTCGCGGTAGACGTTATAGGCGATGTAGATCTTGTTGTAGCTCTCATCGATCTTCTTGGTCCTACGGGTGCAAGATCGGTCAGATTCCGAGCCGGTGGCACGGATCTTTCCGAGATTTGTGATCCAGTAGGCATAGTGATAACGTCAGCATTTGCTGATGAATCAGTACCCATTGTAGAGTCTGGTGACGAAATGGTGTTGGGACCACCAGGAGCAGCGAATGAATAGGGTTCGCTTCCATTTCCTCCTGAGCTTGACATTGCAGGTTTCTGTAATGACTAGTCTTGTTCTTGGTCTCGTGTAGCTCGTACGGCTATAAAGAGCGCGTACGGCTGATAACCTGCGAGTGGATCTTAATCAGCGAAGTTTGAAGCTATCACTGACGATCCATAAGCGGCGTAGCGTCGGAACGGAAACCGCACCTTTTCTAGTCGCTTGATCCTTGAGCCAAAGTACATATGGTACATATATATGTACAAGTTGCACTGTACGTGTCGCTGCACTTCCATTCGCAGAGTATATGCATCTGAAGCATTCTGAAGTCATGATAAGGTGATGCTGGAACATAGCGAAACATGGAGTCATGCATTTAGGAACTCCATCGGTTTCTCCGTATTCCTCAAGGTGTTTCCAGTCGTGCCAGGAATCAGGTCTGGGATTCTTGGGGGGCCCCGGTGTCCACCGGTGAACTGAGGACTTCACGTGAGCCATGTCTGACTCTCTCCGAAGAGCCTGGGCCGTTTGGTGGAAATCGCCTGGGGAGAGGCGAAGAAGCTGCTCCTTGGAGCCACGTTGTTCGTGTTTTGAATCAAGCGAGGTGTAAGCAGCACATTTGGACAACAGGCAGTTTCAAAAGCTTCTTGACAAACTGGATGTTTCCATGATGGCTCAAAATCAAACACTGATCCTGAAGAGCTGTGCTCATAATTCTCAGTTTCAATCAGCCTCTTCAAGGGGCTTCGTCACGTCCTGGTCCCTTCTAGAAGTCACCCTCACTTTGTTTTGAGGTCAAATCTTGGCTTCCAGGCTTCATGAGAAAGTGTGGATGAGGATTCGCCCTCGGGAGCCTCGGAACAAAGGGTCGGGACGAAGTCCGAAGATGCTTCTGGGTCACCGACCTCGATACAAACCAATTGCTTGACAATGGCTACTACGTATCTCCTATCGGCCTTAAAGAGACTGAGGAGATGAAATGATAGATCATAGATCTGATTGATGATATATCAGTGCATGCATCATTTTCGCAGTTTGATCCGATCCATCTATGAGGTGACTTATTTGGAAGTTAGCGCACTTCTTTAGTGGAGACCTTCTGCTAAGTTTGCAATGCGCAGAGGCAAAGTTGTCGTGCAGAAGCAAAAATGAAGCGAACAAACACCAAACTCCCCAATCACTAGCCGAGCCCATCTCACGACAGCCTTTTTTTGGTGCTGGACATAAAAATACCAGAGTCGGATCATGGCCACTCTTGATTCAGGCGTGCTACGCCCCCGAAACCAGCAGGCAAACTTCTCAATTTCAAAAGTTTTTCAGGCCAATATTGCAATATAGCCCTATGGATTCTTGTAGTACATCCTATCCAAGGGGACCTCACATGAACAAACTCTGTGACTCAACCACGACCAAGAGGATCCTAGAGGCAAGATTCAGACTCATGGCTCTCTTCGGGGATTCCAAGCTAGGTCACGACGCAAGTGAAACGGATGAATCACTATGTGCAATCGCCAGTGTGCTGTCAGATTCTGTCAGAATCTACGTGTTTTTGGCTCTGACTCTGAATCAATGCTAACTCCATCAACCTGTCAGCACCGGCTCAGTCAGGCCGATTCGCAGCAGCACGGCACAGCCGGCTCTACATGGCCAACCCAATAACACACCATGTGAAAGTTCACCATTCAATGTAGTTTTCGGTGCCACGGCTGGCTGGCTGCCTAAAGCCCCCAAGTTTCAGCTGCGAGCTAGCTGGCTCCTGAGGGGAGCCAGAAAACCTCCAAAAAGAGATAGAGGAAATGTGTGACACCAAACGTGTCTGATCATATAATGTTTTGAAAACACGTATGTGTATATATATATATATCATATATAGCACCGAACAAAAATAGTTAAAAATAACTTAACATAATATGTATGGGGACATTTATTTGGTACTAAACTCACATAAACTATCTATTTTGTGGAGGCCCTATCTCGTTTAGACTACTTAAGTAGTAGGTCATGTCACAGTATCTCGTTCAGACTACTGTAGTAGCACATCACACTACATCTCGTTCAGAATGCTTTAGTGTCATCAAGCAAAAGTATCGCGTTTATGTGAAGGCCCGATGCCGGGAAACTGTTGATTTGAGACGGAGACTATGTTTTGACATTGGTCCACTCTTGGCGTCACCAGCATAGTCAAACATATATATATATATATTATATGAGCAACCATTTTTATTTAGGCTAGTCTACGGCATGCTCGATTTGCTTGTTTATCATCCGTAATTATTCGCTTGTGATAGAGTCATCGACCAAACACTTTGTCACGGTGCAGCCGAACATGTCTTGATATGTCAGGTGTACAGTTCAAGGGTGTAAGTGTACTGTGCAAACTTGTACAAAATGGTATGTCAGTTGAGTCAGTAGAACTAGAAAATCAATTCAAAACATACAAACAAAGGGAGCCTAGTTTAAGAAAACAGAATCCTAGCTTGTAAAAGGAATCGTTGAGCCACCACGGAGATGCAGTCGGAGCCCGTCCTATGTCATCCTACGTCGCTTTCAGCACCGGTCCTGAATCAGCGCACCGAGTTCCGAGCTGAGCTGTGTGCGTGACATGAATCGGAAAACGGATGCAGGAAAATCGGAACAGGGCCCAGGAGTAGCCAATGGAGGAATAGATACTTGTCTTTTTCTTTAAGTCCTCTTTGGAATTAAGACGGTATCTCATTGATTTTTTTCAGATTGGCATATGCTTTCGGGAGTCTGGGGGAGCAATCAGAAGTGCAGCTTTCAGTCATCATCTGATTACAAGCAATGTCCTGCAACTATCATCAACTATATACCCATTGACATGGACATGTAGGAGTTGATGAGAGAAATTCTGCAACACCTGGGTCACCTGGGAGAGAGAAAACTGCTGAACGTTAAGTTATTTACTTGTTTGAGGCACCATAGGAGCAAGCAACTTTCTGACCGTGGCCACAGCCGGTTGCTCATTTTGGGCCTACACACCATACACCCCTGGGAGGAAATAACACCGTTTCGCCGTTTGCCCCTGGCACTCTTGGCTCAAACTCTTTAATCTGATCATTTCGGACGGTGTTATGATGGTTCGGAAAAGCGTGCGATCAGTTGACACAAATATTACGACAAATTCAGACCATTGGGCACAGGCATGGTTTGGTACATCGTTCGCCACAGAACGCATCGGAGGAATTTCGCTTCTACGACCTATCTTTTGTCATTCCCCAAGGCCCACTGGAAAAAGAAGCTCCGCTGTCTCGAGCTGCGACTCTCCGGCATTGTGACTAATCGAACTGCCAGGCACATTCTTCGAGTCCAACGTTGCTTGTCGCCATCATCCATGCAGCTTCTTGGCCATCATGCCGCCTGCCAGCGGGTCAGCGTGCTGCACAAAAACGCTCCAGGAGCGCGTCTTACAACGGTGGAGGGGCCTCAAGCGCATCAAAAATCCCCGTTCCGACCACTCAATTCCAAGCACCAATCGGGGATATCAAAGTGAAGTCAAGCACCAATACGCTGTTGCGCTGTGCCGTGAAATGATGTTGGAACAACAGCTTAGTCTCGCTGGACCTCGTCGCAGGATACGTTTCGATGCCCGAACGGCTCAATGCACCGATTTGCACCTTCAGCAGGCAAGGTGACCTGCCGGTGACACGTGGTGGATAATGACGTCCAGGTCTTTGGCTGAAGTGCGGGCGTAGCCGAGGCGTTGGCTACTGTATGACAAGCAGTTATAAGACTATATTGTATAGTTGTAAGTTATTGTGATAGTATGTTATAGTATGATATAGTATGTAGTTTCAAAGGAGCGAAGCTGTCTTTCTTGGGCCCTCCAGATGCTTCCTGACCTGGCTTTGCAATTCCGTCTTCCTTGAGAAACTACATGATCTTCCAGGTTATGCATATGTACTTTGCCCATCTCTCGACTTTCAGTTTAGATCACACCACCAATTTACAAACACCTGCTTTTTCCCCATGGTCATTGCCAAACATGGAGAACCATGTTCCACCAAACCATACTTGCAAAAGTAAACAAAATCCGGAACTTCCCGCATGAACTTCCCCTGAATTATCCAACTAAGCTCACATACGAAGCGGCTTACGGGCGCCTGGTAGACACGAACCTCGCAGTTGCCGAACTCCTCGCAGTTGCGGAGAAAAAACAATCTAAACAAGCTGTGATGCGCGATGATTTGTTCTGTCTTACCTACTCTACTACTCGACCTACTCTTGGACCCTAACTAGAAAACGAGTCTACCCACGGTTTTGAGGTCTCTACACATTCAAACCTTCTATTCGGGAAAGGGGTTATCCGATCGTGAGCGTTTCAAATCCCGCCTGCCACATGATCATGACCAGGGTTTAGAGAAGCAACTCAATGCCTTCTGAGGCTGTACGGCCTGGAGCCCAGAACAGCATTGTTTGGCCACAGAATGGGTGTCACATCTCTGCAGCTCCTTCGCTTCCGGGTTCTGTAGCGGGCCTCGTTCTAACTCCCGCCTCGCTGTCTTCAGCTTTGGTGACGAGTCGTATGAGGAAGGATTGGATCGAATTGGTTTCTCTCAGTGTGGCAAATTAGTTCTTCGTTCATACTGTGAGGGGGAAAAGTGAGGGGATCACCTCTAACGGGAGAAACGAGCTTCCCTCTGAGAGTTCAAAAGACATGGAGGAAGTAGCGAACATCCTGGAATCTTTCAAAGATTTGAGCCATACTCCCCCCAAACAAGGATAGCCAAAGCCCTCTCCCAATAGTTCGAGCATTGTTTATGTTTTTTCATGGCTAGTTTAGGGACATCTATCAAATGAGGTCAGCCATACTTCTCAGAGTAAGTCGGGTGGTGGTAACCCGGCATAGGTCTTGTCCCACGAAAGGAGCTGTTGATGGAAGCCGTTGGAAAATCACCCCAGCATGCACTGGAACCTGGAGTCCACATCTTTGAGATACCACCATGTCCGATCAACTGAGTCTGAGACAGATTTAGTTTTGAAACTATAGTTACCGCCGGATACTTAGAACCGTATTCTTCAACAATCATCAATCATTAATACTTAGAATCTGTCAAAAAAATGACATATAGAACCAGTGATGAATAGACACATAGAACCTCTTGGAGATCGCACACTTAGAACCTGCTAGATCATCAATTGTTTTAAGATGTTGATAGATTTAGATATGTGATTCTTTACATTCAATGTGGCCTTGGAGTAGCACCATAATTAGAACCTGCTTCAATATGAAAGCAAAAAGGATAATGAACTGGATTTGAAGCCCAATGATGCTTTCAACCCTGAGTGAGCCCGGGAAAGCTTGCCATGTAGATACGTCGATATCACACCAGCTATGACATAGTAGCTAAAGTCTGAGCCTTTGTGCAGCATCGCGCTTAGAACATCCATCAAGATGAGCCAAATCCGTAAGCTCGGCCACACCACCTGGAAACAATAATGTCTCCTGCCAACCCTGAATAGCTTGAGGAACTCTCACTTGGAACCACTGGAAGTGCACGGCTAGCGATTTCTCGTTTTTTTGGCTTCTAAGTGTACACTTAGAATGTCTCCAGCCGTGTAAATAGGATACATTTTTCCAAAATAGGTTCAAAGATGTTCTAAGTATTATTTGTCCGTGGTTATCACATCTTGCCCTGAAACCATCCCCCAAGAACAGGAAAGTGAAGCCTCAATGTCTAGCCTCTGTTACCTGAAACCTACGTTGCTTCACCCAGATCGAACTGCACTTTGTCATCTTTGTCCAAGGGTCAAAAGACGTAGGTGGTACAAACACCATGCAGAGTAGATGCAACTTTCCAAGGAACGCAAAATAGACCCAAATAGTAGGTAAACAAACGTATACATATATATATAGATGTATATATATATGTTAAAAAAATATATATATATATATATATATTGAGCCTCAGCCGCTCAGCTACACCAAGGTGTCCAAGTTCTCCTTCCACCTTGCATCTCACATACCAGAACATATGGTCTTGTAAGACCAGGAAAGGGAATGACATGGAATGGCCCCAATGCTCACCCGACCTGAGAATCCCTGGACATGCGACCGGTGCAGGTGGAGGGGTCACTCATGGAGTCGCAGGAAGCTCCTCCACGAACAGCCAAGAGGCAAGTAACCCTTGTGCGTCACCACGGCCATACTGCGGCAATCCACCTGTGGCAATCCATACTGTTCATGTCTCCTTTTACCAAAGTGTTGCGCTATGTTGCGCTTCAAGTGATTCAGTTCGGAGGAAAGGGATTTAAACCAGCATGCCCTGACTGATGCCCTGTGGCGTGGTTGACCACAAATCCTCCATTCCGAATGACCTGTGGTGCCGTGGCCAGAGCGCCATCACAGATCCTCCGAAACGAAACAAACATTCAATGACCCAATGATGAACGTTGTCCATGAGCACGAGTCCCTGAGCTGTCTGTGCGCACCAAAACATGGTAGAAAGCCAACGGCGACATTCAAACATTGTCGCTACGCATGATCAAAACATACCAAAATCAAGTCGCCCGTCATTTTTGCAAAGCACGTCTCGTTTGTGGCACCTGATCCCTCATCAAAGCCTCCAAAAGGGCAGTGCCTAGGCGGCTGAACGATAGCCCCAAAGGAGTGGTCGAAGCAACCAAATTGACGAAAATCGAATGGGTGGGACAAGAGTGAGTTGAGGATCGCATGCCTGGAATTTCAAAAGGATTCCAATATAATACAATATAAGAATGAGAGAATCGGTGGATTTGGACAACACGTAAGGAGGATTGGAGAATTGGAGGATTTGGATTCCGATAGTTCGTTTCTCCTCCACTTCGGTGGGTTGAACGCCCTTGATGAGCAAATCCGCGGCTCTTTTTCATCTCTGCGACAGCGGGCAGTCGCTAGGGTCAAGGCTGAATTTCACATCTGGGCGTGATTCAAACAAGGAACATCTAGTAGCCCCCTCACGAGCAGGACGATAAATTTGGATAGTTTCCATATGTATATTACACGTGTGTTTGTGTCTTTGCCTTCTGTCTTCCCTATGGTCTGTGGACACTGCATCATCATAAGATATCATAAGTTTCAATTATTTTCTCCATGCTTCTCATAGCCGCCTCCTTCTGATTTCTTCATCTAACACTTATATATCAATCGGGGAGCATCAACTGCTTTTCATAGCCCCGTCGTTTGAACCGCCCAACGTTCGTTCTCTGTGCAAACGTTCGTTCTCGGTACTCGGCACATCTCATTCCATGCCTTCACGTGCCAAAGACTCACCCAGCTCCACGTTCTCCTCCTCTTCACGGAGTTGATCACGGCGATTCAGGAGCCAATTCACTAAGATCACCGCGCCACCAATGACCAAGGTGATGATCATGAGCGGCCAAAAGTACCTTATGTTCATGTGCACATGCTGGTCTTTCTGTGAGAAGAGTGGACGAGGGTCACTGAAAGTAAACTACTCAACTACTAGCTCGATGTTGTTTGGTTGAAATTCGACTTCCCCAAACGCATCATTGGCAAAACAAACATAGCAGTGGCAAAACACCACCAAACCGTTGATTCAAATAAATTCCCTGGCCGGAGCACTCTCGGGGACACAAGACGCAGGCCAAGGCCCAAATCAAGGCTGCGCCGATCATGAGAAACATCTTGTACCTCTGCCACTGGTAGTGCCTTGGTATCCCAGGGAGGACTAGAGTGACTAGACAGAGGATAGGTAGATTCATGTAAAGTCTAAACTTTCTTGTGAAAGGAAATGGTTTTGTAATGTGTTGTATATTCTTTTGAGGCCGTAGATCATGTTCTTTTGTTCCACTTTGCCCTGCATTCTGGTACTGCATCAAAAACGCCCATTCATACCGCGGTTGATATCAACAAAAACCACTCCACTTGTTCCCAAAAAAATCGTCCCTCGCACGCGTAGCGCTCGCCTCTGCAAGCGCTTGGCCCCTGAATTGAAGGCTTTGGATGCCCCCTGAAGGTCGTTGGTGCGTGCCTCCGGATACCCGACGAGGTCGTTCCACAGCAACAAGGTCACAAAAGGCATTCCACAACGGGTGAAACAAGGGTATGAAAAAAGGTGGTGACTGCCTGCCAACTGGAGAACAAAACTTTACAGCAGAACATGAGCAAGTGATGAACAAACCATGAGTAAACTAATTGATCGCCACATTGAAAACGCGCCTCCAATTGGGTCAAACCTGAGTCCCTTTCGGCCATCGCACGCATGTTGTCCTGCATCACTGCCATCGCCCCTTGCACCTGCTCTTGCACGCTCTGTGTACGCGGTGCCTCTTCACCTTCCGCCGGCATGGCGCAGCCGCTGGGTGGCACAGCCGCTGGGCTGTGCGGGAGATTTCCAGGAGCCAAACTCAGTTGTTCTGGTCTGTAACATCTCGTGTGCCAAGAGTTTTTGAGCTGTTTTTTCTGCCCCATCTGCGTTTGAGCCACGCAGCACAGCAACATACAGGAACGGTTGGTGAATGAACTTTGCGCCTTGGCGCTGACCTTTTTTAGGCAGCGAAGTGGCAAACAAAGATCGGTCAGCAACTCTCCAACCATGGACCATTCGACAGTCCTCACTTGGACTACATAGCAACACATAGCTGCTCAAAGCCAAAAGCATACTTGTTGTCCTTTTTCTCGGGTAGTAACTGCTCTGTTAAAGGCAAAGTACCTCTCAATCACGACTGTCTGCCCTGAGGGCACAGCCAAGAATCACCTAAAACCAAGGGGGCTTATATCTTAACGTTTAACTTATATAATGAACCGTTTGTATACCAAGACACCAGCACCTCATGCTCCAGTGAGCTTCGTATGACAAGCCCCCAAAGGTAAACTAAGTCTGAAAAGGACTGTCTTTCTGCACGGTCCAATTCTGGTGCATATCAAAGAAGCTTCTCATGCTTGATTCCTTGATTGGACGACGGATGTTCAGCTCCTTTTCCGGAACCCGCCGGATCCGACACCGGACCCGGCACCATCGCGCTTGACGCGCGTACGTTGGGCTCCTCCGAGGTGCGACCGCGAAGCTCCTCCTTGTCCTGGCGGCACTGGGTGTTGGAGTTGATCACATTTCCGTGCATAAACATGGAGCAAGCGCAACAAAAACACAGAGGCGCTAGGCCGCCTAGGCCTCTGGTCAATTTGCATATGACAGACCTGACACAATGTGCCTCGCTTTGCCAGCTGTTTTTTCTACCCCCTCTCTCTCCATCGCCTTCTTTAAAAAGTCTGGTCCTTGCCTTTGTTTGCCAACTCTGATCAACCAATCAACTCCACATCACGCTGCATCCAACACATCATGGGTGCCGCATTGGCGCCATGCAGATGTATGATGTATGTGAACCGGTGACAAACATGCGCACAGGATAGAAAGACAAATGGACATCCAAATACCTTGGATCACTTTGGATCCTCAATGGCTCAAAAAACAGCAACAAAACCAATGAACACATACACAGTGCACAGTGCACATACATACTGCTACGAGTACCTCCTACAGCACTGCTACGCTTATGTCCCGTACAAACACATCATGGATGACAAACCCAACAACATGCCCATGTTCCGTTCCTCTTGCTTTTCGCCTCCCCAAACCGTCCGTGCCTCCTGCGTCTCAGCCAGTTTGAGTGCCCGTCGAAAGTGGCGGTCGTGACTCCTCAGTTCGTCCTGAGCCCAGCGTGGATGGAGTGGGTCATGTTGATACGGGTATTGTTGGTTGCCTTGGGCTGTGCTATCCAACGGCTGAAAATGGACAGTGACCAAGTGGAAAAGGTGGAATACCAAGGAAAACTGCCGTGGAAGCCCCGTGTGAGATACAACACCTCAAGTTTCCAGCGCAACTCCTCTTTTCAGGACCCACATCCTCAAGGATTCACGACTAAATGTGATCACCCCCTTCTCCTCATTTCTCCTCAGCTTCTCACCCAAAATCCTGTGACCGGTCGAAGTCCCCGGATGGACATGAAACCGCCAAAACCACCTTCACTCGCCGAGCGAGTCACGAAAGACATGAAGTTGAAGGTCTGCCGCATGGCCACCAGGTCCGCCCGCTGCCGCTCGTCGCAGGGCAGCCCGGTACGCCGCTCCCGCAGCTCCTCCCGGACCTGCAAGGAGACCCCACCGCCTTCCACAGACTGGGAACCAGATTATTTGAGTGGTGGAGGAGACCCGCCATGTCTGAGTGGAGACCCCAAATGATTTTGGAAAGCACCCCCTATTGGTGTCCAGTCTTTTGGAATGGCAATGAGTTACTTTCAATCAGGGAAGGGTAACGGTATAGGGTTTGCCCCTATACGGAAGTTTTGTCGGATTGTCATATGTTAAATTTGTTGCCGCATCCAAGGCAAAAAAGCAAGCTAACACAAAATCAACACCTGGCCACAATTCCGCCGGCAAAATCACATCGATCTGGGCCGTCGACATGGATCCCAGGGTGTTCTGGGAAAAGGATGGCTGCCGTCTGCAAGGTCCGCTGCAAAGGAGAGACATAGATGGCCGTGGGTTGTGGATAGCCCTGCCTCGGTGAGGGATTTTCTCACCCGGAGGACACAGATTGCCTAGCTTGGCGTCCGACATCATCTGATGCGGAGGTATCTGGAAAGTAAGTTCGTTCAAAGGAATTAGTTATTTTAAGGCCAAATACACACCTGGACCTTCAGCCTTTGGTGCATAACGTAACGTTGAACGCGACCGGGTCTTCTTTCCTGACAGTTGTGTGCTATGTTCGTTTGGAATCGTGTGGAAGCTCTGCTGAAGGCTTGAGATGTCAAGGACAAACCCTCGGAACGCAGCTTGATTGAACACCTGGCAAACAAACCAGCCCCTAGACTTGGATGTTTTCCACTATGTTTTCCCAGGGCACATGGTCAGCCTCTTGATCTCCGCCAATGCATCCAAAGCTTGCATCTTGCCGCTGGGGGATAAGGCTGCATCATGCAAGGTCTCATCCAAAAGCACCTGTCGCCTGTACCGAGGAAGGTCCAGGCGAGTCACCGAGTCGTGGCATGGGCGGGGCTTGCTTTAGCAAGGCGAACGGCAAGAACACCATGGGCTGTTCGGACGTGCGGCAACCGATCACTGCCAGGAACCGCTGAAAACTTGAAGATCGAACAGTACCGACCCGCTGAAACAGCGAGAGCAACGTCGCATCTCTAAGGCCAAACACTTCAAAACAGCGTCTGATTGAAGAATCTCCACCTCCCAAATTATTGGCTATTGGTCTGCTGATTCCGCCCGTCCCTAAGAAACCAATGCTAAGAACTTCGGTCTTTCTTCCATCTGTTCACCTTCACTTGAATAACGCACCCATACATCGGTGCCTTTCGCGCACCTCCCCTGCAACCCCCCCTCTGTCCGCGCCTGGCGGCTTCCACCCGCTGTTGGAACTCCTTGGAGCTCGGCGTTAAGCCTTCCATCATGGCCTCCGGCTGAAGTGAGGCGCGCGAGCTTCAGTCGGCTTTGCCCGTTTGAAACGCCAAACGACTTGGGCTGGGGACATGATCGTTTTTCTTCCACTTGGATCTCACGAAGTGCACGAACGGCGCCTGCGCTTTGGCGCTTTGTGTCGCTTGCCTTTCTTGGATGTTGTGCACCTGACGAAGGTGTACGATTCGTGGTCCGACAGGCGGTGGAGGCGACCTCCACAGAATCCCCAGAGTCCCGGAGCACCGAATCGGCCCAAGGGGCTGCTTCTCCGTGACGGATGAGGTACAAAGTCTTCACCTGCAGCTTTCGTTCTGTGACACAGAAGCTCGAAGGCACCACGACCATGGGATCGTTAGCTGAAGAAATGCTACGAAGCTCCACAAATCCCCAAAGGTTAAAGCACCAGCAAGCTTGCTTGAGAAGAGATTGGATGCTTTCCATGTGGAATGGAGAAGAAGAGTCTATGGTTACTATGGTGATTTCACAGCCGTCTCCAGCAAAGGCAACAAACACGGAGGCAGAATCTTCGGCTCTTTGAAGAATCAATTTATGTTTGGCCACAGTACTTCGTACTATACAGTAATTACTGGCTACTGGGCTTAGTAGTGCCATACTGTGGAGCAAGCAAGCAGCAAGAGTCTTGAAATCCTTTGCCATGGGACTCAATTTCTTTGTCATCCAAGACTTGCATTGGATTAGATCAGCGAGCGAACTTGATTACAGTACTGGATTCCCATCAGAGGTCACCCTCCAAGCAGCCTCTGGTGGCTTCATGTCTGGGCAAAAGCCTGAGCGGTGGGGCGGAACGCCATGGTCCAAAGGAACGGTTCATGTGACAGTATTCTCTTCACGAGGTGGTCTGGAAAAAGGACCAATTCTGAGAAAATGGATCTTGAGCCTGTTCATGTGCGTAAGCAGCCCGATCTTTTTATCTTCAGCATGATAGGCTGGCTGGAAGCACGAACAATTTGACAATACTTTTGTGGAGCTTCAACTATTAGTAGAGTATATCTATATAAAGAAAAAAACATAAACGGCCCTGACCATTGCTGTATATATCCGATCCCCCATCGTCCAATATCCCCCATCGTCCACCAAGGGGCTCCAAGATTGGCTCCGCACGCGTTGAATCTTGGCTAAGGGCAGACGACCATGGCTGTCGGAGCATAGGAGCCCGTCGCCGATCTCAAACAGCCTGGGAGCAACGGGATGCGGGGCCATGCGGAGCACTGGCCGCCAGTTGGGAACAACGGGAAGGTCCATATGCGCCATATGCACCCTTTCAAACATGAATCGTTGGAGAGCCTGGGGTGATCTGGGGTGGCGACATGTAAACACATGTTGAAACCATTTGTGGTGGGTGATGTTAGGGTTAGGGAATGCTAGGAAGCGCAATATTGTAAGGGGATGATGTTGATCATTCTTAAGAATCTAGCTTCACTCATTCCGACTTTTTACCTACACACGAAGGTTCATGCCCGGCTTGGCCATTGGCTTCAGAAGGTTGATGTCACTGGTATCCGACTGATCCAGCTCCAACGCCAAGCGCAGCCATCGCAAACAGGATGTGCCAAGTCGCTCCAACGCCTGGTCCACAGTCAGCCGCTTCTCCTGCCAAGTCACTTCTCCGGGTTTTGCCCTTCACAAGTTCATGCAATGAGTTCTCAAGAGGTGCCCTTCACATGTCGCATCTGGTTCATCAAATGCTCGTCCTGGTTCTGTTTTCTTCCTCCCCATTCCAAGGTGAAACATCTTGGATCCGAACTGCTAGAGCTTTTTTTGACAACCTATCTGCAAATGTGAGGTGGGGTCAAGCTCAAAATGTTACTCAAATGGGTCTACTACAATCACGAGTTTACACTAGCAAATCTGCCGCATCCTGGTGTAGGTGTCATTGTGACTCTAGTGTATATATATATATATACTAAATACATGCATCTATATACATCCTTGAGCTTCCCCATGCCCTGAGGCATTCCAAAGAATGGGTACGACCCCCTTCCTTTGGATCCAGGGCTTTTGCACGCAGGTTTGTCTGGCGCCTGATCTGGATCCAAGAGCTGCATCACCAACGACTTCACCTTGGGTGACACGTGGCTGAAGATGTGCTCCGTCTCCAGCGGATGCCTCGGTAGTAGCCATGGTAGTAGCCGAACACTTTCATGGTACCCATGAACCGCGGGGATTGCCAATTGCCGGTCCTGTGCTGCAGGACGTGGGGCTACGGGACGTCAGGGACGTGGGGGACGTGAAGGACAGGACGTGGAAGCTCGGGACGTCAGGGACGGGACGTCAGGGACGTGAAAGTCTGTGTAAAAACATGTAGGTACAAACTATGGAGTCTACAATGCCCTTCCGTTGGCACAGCTTGAGGCACATGGCAATTCAAATTCACTGCAAAGAAAGGAAGGCATACCATCCGTGGCAGCAAAAGAAAGCATACCCAAAGTTTAGTCAGCCTCTTGCATTTAAAAAACGTGGAATCACGCTTGTTCACAACCTCTCGGTTCGAGAGATTTGAAGGATGAACTCAGTAACAAAATACACGTCCTTGATGGGTTGCTGTCATCTTTGAAGAAAATCACCGCAAGTTACGAAATTTGATCTGGAAACTGCTGGAACAAACGGGCGCCGTGGAAAACATCGCCATGTGTCTTCCATGGATCAGTGAGCATCCAAACACTATTCTTGAAGTTTCACGGGTCGCAACCATTTAAAAATAAGAATGCCGGATATTCTTACCTTAGACGCTCCAAAAAGGAATCAAGCTGCCGCTTGTTTTTTTCTCCGATGGGACCACGCTCCTTTTGCACTCAGTTGGAACGGATCTTGGCCGTGAGTGACGTGGCCGCACCGGTTTCCTCCACTGAGATGTAAAATCATGGTTGCTCACAAGCCCTACGGACGAACTGCTACGGGCACGGCGCCCAACTAGCAAAATGGTGAAAAGACTCGTGTTGGTCCGCCCTCCAGGCTCTCATACTTCAAAGAAAAAAATAAACATTGGTTCTGGGTGGGAAGAATTGGGACCTAAATAATACCGTCCGAGAAATTCAGTCGGGTGATGTCCTCGACTTGCTTGACTGTAGGTACAGGAAAGGCACAACAGTCCTGTCAAGTTCCCGACCGCCTGCTCGATAGGCCATCGTTCATTCTCAAGTGGACAACGGTGGCCCATGAATGGAAATTGAATTGAAGTGAGTGGCATAGTGACGCAAAACAAAAAGCGCATGAACTGCAGTCACAGTCTTGCATTGACTAAACCATATGTGCACACAAACCCTCGGCTCGAGAGATTTAAAGGATGCGCTCCGTGATGAGCTCGATAACAAATGTTGAGTCCTTGATGGATTGCTCTTATCTCTCAATATAATACCGCAAGCATTGAAATTTGACTTGCAAGCAGCAGCTAGTAGTAGTAGTAGTAGTCGTCGTCGTCGTCGTAGTAGCAGTAGCAGCGAAGGCAGGGGCATCAGGGCCGCGAAGGACGGGACGGGACGTGAGGGACTCCAGGGAAGGCGCGTCCGGCACACCAGGGAGATAGGACGGCAGGACGTCACGGACGTCAGGCTGCGAGGCACGGGACACGGAACATCAGGGACGTCAGGGCTCATGTCCTGCAGCGTGGGTGTGGCAATTGTGGGGAACCGGAGGAAGGGATGTCCAACTCAAGTTTCGGAACTTGTTCACTGGTTCTTTTGGAACAGTGGCGTCCGAAAGTGCGTCAGAAAGCCATGAAAACCCATATACTCCATGCTCCATGCCATTTAAATAAGCCTTCTACTGCATGGATGCGGTGGCTCCCGAGAACCTGTTTCCCATTCGGTCTGTGCCGGTGCCAAAGGGCGCATGGGCTTCCCGCAGCTCGGACAGGGAATCTGCCTGTGCGGGCAGGCCTGCGACTCACCTCGCATTGTACGCCAACAACAGCAGTTTCATGATGTCACTGTCGTTCCTCTTCTTCCTCTTCTTCTTCTTCTTCTTCCTTCTTGTTTCTTCTTCCTCTTCTACTTATTATCCTTCTGATTTTCGTCCTATCTTTAATATTCCCATTATTATGTTTTTCTTACGATGTTTCTTCTTCTTCTTCTGTTGTTCTTACTTACTCTTTATTGTTATTATTGTTTTTTATTTTGTATTCTTTTTCTTCTTCTGCTTCGTTGGTGCTGGTGGTGGCGGTGACAAAGAAAGAAGGTGCTCGCAGGAATCCGCTCGCGCGGACACACTGACTCACACCTTTCAAAGGGAAAGCAGTCTTAATCAGGGCTATCCCGGACTATCTGTTTCTGTCTCATATGACGGAGTCTCATATGACCGGATGGCGGAGTCTCATATGACGGAGTCTTCTTAAGAATCTCAGCCACAGGGGAAGTCCTCAGAGTGGCACACCTCGACGATGGAACATCATCCCACTCGTTAAACAAAAGTGATAGAAGTGTGTTCTCAACCTTATTAGTTGGAGATGATATAGCGGATTGGGAGTATATACATGGCATAATCCCCAAACGGATGTTCTGATTTGTATTTATGTACAGTTGATCTCTTATATGGACCACCATCTCCAAGACTTCGGGTGCCGTCGTGCCGTGAAACCACCTGAAGCCGGGCCTGGAAGGGCAAATCGCCGCTGAGGATGGTAAAGGCCATGACGCCGATCGCCTCGGGGCATGAAAACGAACAGCTGGGGAAGCCGCAGGGGCAAGAAAGGATACCGAAGCAGGGAAAAAAGAACGCAAACACCACCAGTGGAAACACCACCAGTGGAATCTGCAAGTTCTTTTTGAACGTTTGGATTTCGAGTCCCACTGGAGTTGGCTGGTTAAACGGTTAGTGACTAGCCATGACGATGGGTGATGAGATCCATGAGATCCAGACAACTCACTCAGACTTGTACAATGGGGACTCTCAGACAAACTCGGCGTGGTTCCTTTTCAGCCAAAGGTTTGAAACTTGAGAATGGGAATGGTCTGGGGCATCATCTACAACATTATGCAACTGATCTGACAAGGAACAACACAGCCCAGCAGGACCCCTGACGATTGCACACAGGACTCAGCAAAAACAACGCAGGAGTCCTACCCAGACCCATGGCCGCCCACAGCTGTTTCTGTCCAAACCTCTTGTTGCCACTCCGCAGCGTTTGAAAGCGTTTGAACAACAATACCGCTCTCCTGAACACTCGTGAAACTCAATGTTATACCCACGGCACATCCCTATCCGCCTTGTTGACCTGTAGTTCATGGACTTGCTTCCACCGCTGTCCATTTCCTTCTTCAAGCCATGGAAACTCAACAAAGAATGCATATCCGGCTTCCTCCAAAAGAGTTCAACTTTGATGAGCACATTGTTTGTGCACAAAAGGTGCACTTCACTGCAATGTTTTGCGGGCTGGAAACTGTTCCCCAGCTTCGCTCCTTTTTTTTTTGCTAAGCATCTCCTGCACAGGTAGGTCTTAAACAAAGAGGCCTCAAGCAAAGGGATAAACGATGATAAACGGATACACCCATGTCATGGCAAGGTTTAGGCAAATGGATTTGGGCCGCTCGTTTGAGACATCCCACGTGCTGCTTCCAATCTGGAACAAGCAACAGGGTCCAGAGTCCATTTTGACCTCCGGCTCCATTCAGGATGGCGCGCCCATGCGCCCCGAAGAACGGGATAGGATCACAGCACAACACCAGTGCGTCTGGCGGTGTTCATCCGTCCAGAATTCCCCACACAAGGATACGCCGCCCACCGAGATCTACACATCCGACTCACGATCAGTGGAGACCACCCCTGTTCGTGAGTCGGAAACTCGTCATCTGGGCCCACTTCCTTTTAAGGTGAGTCAATATGTGCATTTCAGGAGTGTATGTCCAGAGACTGGTCCAGAGTTGGAGGCTGGACAGGATCCCGTCCGTTCTTTCTGGGCTTTTGGGCCACTCATGGCGAGCTCTTGCTGCCAATCATGATCATGGCCACCGCACACACCTTGGACATCGGACGGACCGGACGGACTGGTTTTTCGAGTGTCGCAGGAGAGGTGGGGCGTTCCGGGCGTGTCGCGGTTCGTTTTTGGTTTGTGTTCTTTACATTTGTAGACCTTTAAACAGTTACAGTCCAAACTAAGTGCTTCATCTCTCTGTCGCAGTGATGCCTTCTCACTTCCAGGCGAAGTACGAGCTCCCATCTACTTCGGGGATGGGAGCCGTTGTTTTGCCCACCCACTTCTTCACAAAACAGCTGAATGATGATCAAAAGCCAATGCATCCTGCCCAAAATTAGCCTGAGCATGCCTGAGCCAAGTTCTTCCCCCCCCCCGGCTTTTGGGCCAAAAAGCAATCAAGCCGATGGTCACAGTGCCCAGGGAGGACCACATCACCACCACCAGGAAATAGGACCAATACCTTACAGTAAGTGACTGGCTCTGTCGCGCGGGAGCGTCCATTAAAACGGAGCCAGGTGGACAGTCAGTTCAGGGCAGAAATTGAGGGATCTGCAATGGTTGTTCATTTGGGAAGTCCTCCATAGATTGATCATGGCGGATGGGCCCGTGTTTGCATTTCTTCGTGAATGATATATGTTTGGGCTCAAGGGGCGGGCTTTGAGCTTTGAACTATCATGGGCCACAAATGACGATACATCAGTGTTCCAAACCAAAGTCATTTCAGCCTACAATGTACAACATCACGATGCTTCCTGAGACGCCACAAATATGGTGCCGAATCGACGCAAGCTTCGGTACCTGCGCTCACCCAGGATGTTCCTCACCAGGGAGGAACATGGAGATAGAACAGCTCCCCACTTTGAACGTGTATATATATATGTGATGTCTGTATACATGTGTTGTGACATCCCTTGAGGCATTGCTGTATTGTTATTATTGCAATCTTTCAGACGGGCAAAGCTTGTGTGCGCAGGCAAAGCCGTTCGCATGTGAGTCACTTCCTTCACACATTCGACGTGTAACCGTGATCGCCCGTCCTAGGATCAGCCACGCGAAGGACCCTGCACAAGCTGCAACTTCCGCGAGAAAGCCTTGCCGGAAGGCAGCCTGTGCATCTGGAAGATGCAACCTGGGCAGGTGAAGAAGCACAGAATCAGCAAGTAGGTGGTTCAACATGATATCTTGGCCACCTCCAGCTAAATCGAACTAAATGACCATCAAAAAGCGCCGTCACCTTCACGAACCCAGATATGACTTTCTTGGTAAGGGTCTAGCTCAAGTTGGTGATGAGCAGGGGTCTCTTACTGCTTGGCCACCAATGGACGGCCTAAAAAGCACAGCATCAGAGCTGGTGGATTTGCCCACTTAATAAGTTGGAATCCAAACCAAGTTAGCACATCAAATCATGATTATCCATCTGATCCATCTGTTCATCATAGAACATCAGGAATGCCCAGGTCAGGTCCGAGCCCAGGATCGGTTTCAGTGCTCCGAGCTCAGGATCGGCGCCGCGCATGATGCGCCGCGCCACGACTTCCAGTAGCAAGGCTCGAACGTGGAACGGGTCGATGCTCATCATTTTGGTCAAAAGGGTCTGGCTGCTCCCCCGCGAACCCTAACGAATCCCTGAGATGGAGCCAGGTGGCAAGTCATCATACTGCTGGGACATGGCCTCTCTTTGTCGAGGCATGGTCTCATCATTGCCTGATGCCGGATGCCCGTTTCACCAAATCATGGTATAACGAACTGGGGCAAGTGAGTACATTGAGTACATAACCTCGAGTTCACCAACAAGGACCGCCCTTTCAAAAGCTGTTCTTTCTCCAAAAACTGCTGGCCTCGGACGGTCATTGAACATGCTACTTGTTGATACATGTTGATACTGATACTGTTTCTACTTCCATAATTAGCTCGATTCGAGCCCGAAGAGCCCGCATGCCCCTTGCAAGGACGACCTGGCCGACCTGACCGACCTGTCTCCTGGGGCCAGGAAGACATCGAGTGGTGCTGCAAGCCGAGTACCAAAATATACCAAAATGAACTGCATCATCAAACAGAAGCATATACATTGACATAAACTGACTATATTGAGTCAATACTCTGGCCTGACTGGTCTGATGCACCCTCTATCGCTCACGACAAGTCACATTGATCCACCAATTGCCAATTCACCTCGGCTCGACAACGGGCATTGGATGTAATGTTAACATGTCATTTATGAACCATGAGACAATAATAATGAGCTTTTTGGCCTGCCAGGATTTTGCAATACTACGTTCAATTGCGCCAACATCCAGACCCCAAAATGGGCTTTAAAAAAACGACGAATCAATTATAAACATGAGACAATAATAATGAACTTTTTTGGCCTGCCAGGATTTTGCAATACTACTGTTAATTGCGCAATGTTTGTAGCCAAGTTTCTTTACCTTTTCCTATCTTATTTTTCTTTCTTATATATATTTTTATTCTTTTGTGAAATCTTTATGATTTCCCAAAACATTGGCTAGCCAAAAGCTTTAGGTTTTTCTTATTCTAACCCTATCAAACAAATACGAGCAAATGATCTTCAAAGGGTATTGCTCTAGACTCCCACCCCCTGCAATTATAAACACACCTAATAATCAACCCCCCTCCTGCCCTGCTGGCTCGAATGAAAGCAGAATGAAAGCAAATGAAAGACCCTCTGCCAAATCCTCTTTGGAGGTTTGTTAAAATAGAGGTTGAGATTTTTGACTACCCCGGAGGAAAAAAAAACATGCTTCATGGGGTGGGGACGTTTATACATGAGATGTTATGACTCTGTTACCCTGTGGTTTCCCTTGATTTCTCGGTTGAACAACTTGCGAACTTCACAATCATAGGCCAACCTCTTCAGCCAAAAAGCAGGAAACATTCAATCCCACATGAGACGACATGAGATAGGGTCGAGAAATGTCAAGATGGAGTCATTCCTTAAAACAGGAAAAAAAAGAAACTATGACGGATTGGCAAACCGAGTCTTGCAGGTCTCTAAATGACTCAAGGCCGCCAAGATGCTCCATCGACTGAGCCTTCCACCACCCACGAAACCGGATCACATTCGGGACCTTAGGAAACATGCATCGAATCAACTGACAACACACATCGATTGGCCTGCACTGCAGAATGGGAGGCGCCCAGGATTAGTTGGGAACATGACATTTTATAAGCGGCATATAAGGGGCCACAGGATCCACTTGAAAGGACAGGGAGAGACTAGAGATGACTAGAGAGAACCCACGTCCACCCCGAACCAATCCAGTCCACTGCGGTTCTCCTAGGTCCTACGTCCTATACAGGCCCCCCCTCTCTCACTCTCTCTCTCTCACTCTCTCTCTCTCTCTCTATCTCTCTCTCTCTCTCCCTCTGTCTCTGCCCCTCACTTCTCAATAACACGGCCCAAGCGCTTTGTTGAAGACACAACGCAAGGTCAAATCAGCCAAGAGACCTTCTGTCCTGTGTGTTATAAGCTGGTATGCAGTCACAAGTTCTGGACCACCCCTGATGTCCACAAACCTCAGAGTGCAAAACAAATGTTTCCAAAACCAAGTAGACCAGGAAGAATTGCTTTCCGTGTCAAAACGGACCACTGGAGTTGATAATAAACAAATATATGATGATACATGTTCTACTGATCTCAATGGGACTGTTGACCTTCAAGAGTATTCCCGAAGCTCCAAAATCATAACTCAATGGAACAACTAAGAAC